TTCTTCTTCTTCTTCTTCTTCTTCTTCTTCTTCTTCTTCTTCTTCTTCTTCTTTTTCTTCTTCTTCTTCTTTCTTTCTTTCTTTCTTTCTTTTACTCTCCCTCCTCCTCAACTTGTTTTTTTGTTGTCTCAAGCTCTCTTCACCCTGCCTCCAGGTGTCCAGGTGGTGGCGTCATTGGCTTAGTGGTTAGGCTACCGGACTCGTAATAGTAGTGAAAATGTGGGTTCGGGGGTTCGAGCCTCTACTCAGCCCGACGTTGTGTCCTTGGGAAAGGCACTTTACACGAATTTCCCTCTTCGCCCGGTCCTTTCGGAGATGGGCATTAAACTCGGAGGTCCTGCTTCTTAAATAACATAACAGTGTTGATACTTACTATATCTGTCCTCTTGTACCTCTAGGGCGTCGAAGGGAGAAAGACATTTTTGTCTCTAGCAAGTTGGATGGTCTGGCTGGGTGAATTGTTATATGTTTTCAGTGTTTCCTTCATGCCCTCGATCCAGGTCTCCCTTGGTCTTCCTCTTGCTTTGTACCCTGATATTTTTTGTAGTACGCTTTACTGGTATGCTGGTGAGGTGCCCTGCGTGTCAGATAGTGTTGATAGGGGCGTTAAACCTATTACTTGCTTACTTACTTACTCTCTCCCTATACCGTCAGGTACATAAGGCGGAGAATAGTCGACGCCACGCTTGACTGTCCTGAGTCACTTTCTCCAATATTGGCATATCTAGAATCTAGGCCCTGAATGATTGCTTCATCTCTTATTGTGACTCTATCGTTTCCAGTTGGTCTTCCCCGCTTCCTCTTTCCCGTTGGTTTCCAATTCCATGTCTGATAGAGCGATCTCGTCTTTGGCATTCTCAGAACATATCCCAAATATCTCCATCTTCTCTTTTTCTTATTGTTGTGTTGATATCTTCAATTCCAGCTTTTTCCAACACTTCATTATTTGTAATAAAGCATTCCATTATATTAGTAAAATTCTTCGTTGACATTTTGCTTGAAAGCTTTCTAATTTTACTTGAATTGTTGTGTTTGTTTTCCATATCTCTGAACCATGCATATGTCAATACAGCCAAAATATTGCTCTTATATATTTTTTATTTCGTCTTCAATGGAGTGATCTTTGACTTCCATAGTTTTTAATTTCACAAAAGCGACCCATGCATTTTTAAGTCTTTAGAGGATGTCGTCAAGGCAGTCTGCAGTTTTGGATATAGTGCTGCCAAGGTACTTGAATTTACCCATTAAAATTTCTGCAAGGGGTTCTCCGTTAAACCTACCTATACCATTTAATGTTTCCCTCTGCCCCCCCC